TGTATATGTTACGAAAAACTTAGCGCTTTCGACTGAGGTTTTTAAACGAAGTAATATCTTATATCCTTGCGAGACCGTTTATCACTTGATTCTGTCCTTCAGTTGTTCCGTACTTGTTTCATTCAAGTCGCTTTTTCCGGCCGCTGTCCCGTAACAAGATACCAGCATAATCGGCTCTCTGAGTGCAAGAAAGATTAACAATTAGCAACGCAGGCCAGATAATTAATACCAAGCGGGTTACGGGTTTATCATATTATAGCTGGGCATTTTACCGTTTACTAAATGAACGTGGCTGGCCTACTCGCGCCAAATCCGAAGACCTATCTCGAGCGCATCGCCCTGATCAAGCGTAAGCTGCTTATCGTAATGCTCTGAAATACGAAATAGCCGTTGCTAACAATTATTGGCCATCGACAATACCCGGGAAGAAAGGCAGAGAACTAAAGAACCGTTCCCATATCCGCCTGATTGGGTCGGTTGCTTAATTGATATATTTCGTTAATTAGAAATGTTCAGGCTCTGTTATTGCTTTATGAGAGCCATAAAGTAAGTAATGTGGGGTGACCACAGGTGGTGGATGTATTCTGGTAGAAAATTTCTCATAATGCGAGGATATTTTTACAAACTACGGTAATTAGTTAGATAGTTAATTTAGGGCAACCATATGTAATAAAGAGGTAGGCTTGATGAGGTTGTCCGTGGCATTAATCAAATTCATTGTGCCGGTTCCTATATCAAAGTATTTTAGACAAGCTTTGTTATAGACGTGCCGTAATGGAAAAGTCTGAGCCGGTAGCTTGTTGCTTCATTCATTTCTAGATTCTACACAGCCCAAGAGCTGCGCTTCTGTAAGAGCTGATGAAGATCAGTTATTGGACGATTTTCGTTTTTGTTAGTAAAATTGATTCTGGCATAGATATCCTCAAGATATAAACAGATCCATTTTTTGTTTTTCCAAAACACACCTCTAAATATAATGATTTCGGTTAGATAGATATTATATATGGCGTTTTCAATTTCCACTCTCGTAAATTAATATATTGACTGGTTATTTACATAACGTCATTAACCAATTGCACTGACTAACGCTTCTTCTTTCGTTTGTTTCTCTGTTTCGACAGGCCGGTCTAATCTTTCTACAGAGAACAACAGAAATCCTGCTGCTGTTCTAAGATTAAGCTCCCCCAGGGGACGCGCGGCGACTTTGCCACCCCGCTGTGAGACACATTGCCACTGAGCTTCTGGCATCTTCGATTTGACTCACCCCTGAAGATTTACCTTAACGCAAAGTAGAACTCAAGCGCCAACTCGGCTAAACGTGCTATATGCCATCGCAAGCGCGCACGACAAATAAGTCACCGGGTTCATCTGTCTTTTGTCTGTGCGTACGTATTTTACGTAAACGTCAGAAGTACGATCACAAACGGTGAGAAAGAACAACACAGCTGGACGAAGAAATCAAGAAAAGAAAAAAAACGGATAGGAGAGATAAACAAAGAAAATCGAACAGAAAACTACAAATTTCGAATGGATAGAACCACAATTGTTACCATTTTGATCGGCGAAATCAGTAGTTGCCATTAACGCCTCAGGATATTAGTGGATATTATCGTGTCTCATTCAGAAAACAGCATTGCATCTTCACAATGACAATTGCATCATATGGGATGGAATAACTTAATAGACCGATCTGAGCAAGCCGCATGCGGGTAGTTGTATTCTGTCTATTTCTGTTAGAGAAAATCGAGCTAAACTCAATTTCATTCTGAACACAGACGGGCAAACCGTTGCGCCGTCTTGAAGTTGATGAAGAGTTAAAAAAAGTCTTATTTGTTGTATCATTGTTGCTATCCCACGTCGACATGCACTGTAGGATATTCTTCCTAGATTAATAGATTCAACACGCACTAATTCACTGGATTATATATATATATATATATATTATTTCAAACGTCAATGGCTATTGATACAGATAACTGTACGTTAGACGTTGTTCAACGTTCTTCATCCGTGACTTTACTACGTGACGGCTAACATATTGAATCAACATAAAGATGACATTATCGTTTTGTTGTCGATAGGTTTAAATTGACCTCGTGGTCGCCTCTTCCACCGCTATTCAGGACGATGCTTTGGCTGTTGTATTCGTCTAAAAGTAGGCTCAAGTACTGCTGGCCAATGTCGGTGTCCCGCAGCCGGGAGCCATCCGCTACTAGGCAAATTCATGCTAATTCCTTCGATCCGAGAGGGTACCTCGAGTAACTTGAACAGGTGAACCGGAATGGTCATACAGCAGTAGAACTGACTGTTGACTCCAGGTCACTTCAGCGAGCTGTAACGAGCAGTCTTAAGTAGAGACGATCGGTCGTCGTTCGGCGTCTGACACTTGTTGAGATCCTTTGCCAACAATAGGGACAAATATAGCCATACGATTCGCCACGTCATTGAGCTACAGTGTCCCCGCAAAAGTAGTAGCATGATCACGTGAGTGCACACGTAGGTTCAAACCGGCTCTGAATCAGCCACTTCACATTGGAGAGAGACAACAAAACGAAACTACGTCACACGATGCGTATGAGTCAAGCATCAAGTTCAAGAAGGTTTGCCCAGCTGCCATACCTCGATCCGGCGGACGACGATAACGGCAAATACAGAAAAGCGGTACCAATAGGGTGGTGGATGAAGAAAGATATGGCTGGTTATGAAAGGATGCTTCGAGACGCCGACGTGGATAACCTGATTGTTTCTGAAACCCCGGTGACTGCTGAGATGCTCCGGATGATAGGAAATCTGCAGGGAATAATTTAACTTCGGTTGTTTAGATGTTTGGCTGTTGAAATGCTGAAATGAACCGAACTGAAAATTAATCTAGCCAAGAAAAAAAGAACGAGCTTTTTACTGGTCTTTTAGAGTTTGTGGCTTCTGATCGAGTAGGATAACATATGACTGACAAGCTCATACCATGCCCAGTCATACAGGCAACTATATACCGATCATTAAAGCATTTTTTCTTCATTGATATCTTTTTAAGCTTGGCTGAATTGGAAATAGCGCACAGCGGCTGACCAAATCAGCGCACGAAAAATTCACCATTGATTTCTTATGCCTGGCCAAAAGCGATCCGACTGTATATTTCTGAACTAGACGAATATAACCGACACGTACGACTAGCTATTGCAATCGCAGGTACACAGATTATTAAAGAAAAAAGAAAATTATCATTACGCCTTTTTTGTCGTTTTTTGTTAATTTTTTCACTGCGTGTTTTTCCATATAGGATCAAGCTAACGATATCCGTTAGCCAAAATCTATACGCATTACGCATACATTACTCATTATGCTATGTAAGACTACTTGATACATTTAGGATAAGTCAGTCGATGCACCCCCTTTTAAATACTTAGCTGTCTCCAAGACCACCGTCGTGTGAAGCCGCTAATTTGATGACAGCTCATGCAATCGTTGTCAGTGAATCGACGTCGATGGGAAAGATTTTTGAGGGACGCCGAAGGGTGACGGCCACACACAGATATTTGACAGTTCGATGTAGGAAAAGACAGGCAGAAGGGGGCTACGTCAGGGGCTTACACATCGATAGATAAACTCATATCGAAAACCAGTAGCCGATGCCGTTCGTTGGACTTCACAAATCATCAGCGGCAATAACATCAACAGGTCGTGCAACTAATTAGCTGACGTATGAAATACATAGGTAACAAATGCGAAATCGACTGCATTCCTGAAGTTACTCGGCGTGAATACGTCAGGCACACTCTTCAACGGCGAAAAAAACATCATCGGAGTTCAGACAGACCATCGTGGTTGTAACCTTTCATTGATTAGACGGGGGTACTCGAAATGGTTCTGGGATCTTCACATAAGCTAATGAAACTGGTTGATTCTCGATCTCGCACGAAAGTATCAAGCTGTCGCATTGCTTAATTCGTGACAACGCGCTTTCCTTTGATCTTTCGTTACGAAGTTTAACGTTTTCGTTAGATGAACGGGTGCCGCCTATTGGCGTAAGTGATAATTAAGTCAGTTCGCACTACCTGGAACGACTTCAACGGTTTCGTCACTGGTAGCAGAAAGAATGATAATTTATTAGAGGATGGAACAAAATTATCTTAAAAATGCTTGAAAAAATAATGAAATAACCTGTGAACTGCCTACTGAAGAAGTGCTATTTCGTAGATTTGGACGAACGGATGTAAATGGTATTCTCAATAACTAAAAGGCACCCGGGTGGCAATTGGCTAGGCCATTACGTCCTATTCACTTGGCTAACTTAAAGTTATCTAGGGTAGAAGATGTTCGTACTTTTACTGTTATATTTTCTCCGAACGATTCGTTGAAATTTCATCTATTTAGTTGAATTTTATCTTTTTATTCTCGCAACTCTCGTAACTCAGTCGCAACGACGTCATCTAAAATGCAGCTCTTCGATGCAAGGTTACCGGAACACCCGTGTTCTTTAAGGTGCACAGTATATATACTCATACATACAGTACATAGCAAATATCTAAATAAACGTATGAAGTTTGCATTACTAACTTGTCTGTCATGTTTTACATTGGTGTCGATAGCAAATAGCATTACAATAGAAGACGAAGTAGTATCGGACGCGATACTTACTCTGTTGGTAAAGTGGTGATTTGGCCAAGAACATGTGGTGGTTTCAGAATAACTGGTGTATTTGCAAGCGGTATGAAATATCATTTATTGCAATATTATTTATTATATACCATTGTTTGCGGCGCAGTACCTGTATTGCATATTTACGGAGCACCAGAAAACAACTTTAGATGACAAATTGCTTGATCGGCGTGAGCGCCCATTCATTTTAATCACGGTTCACGATAGCAGACGCCATATGCTGACGCTGCGCCTACTCGATTGCGAGAATGCTTTCTTTATATCAATTTCTAACATGTTTTATAAGGTTATTCGAAATGATTCACGTATACGATACGAGCATTCACGACGTACTAATCCCAAATAAAGAAAAAACCTAAGAAAAGAAACTCGATGATATGTTCTTTACGCTTGTGCTATCATTTCTATAGGCTCTATAGCATTTCTATAGGCATAATTTATAGCTTTACATCGTTATCATTTTATTATTCACAATTGATAAAAAAAAACGCTGATCCAACTACTTGATATCGTGTTGAGGGTCAATCTTAGCTTGCCAAAGATGCCGCTTCCTGTCACTTCTGCTACACGTAAGCTTGTTGTAAGAATCTTGCGAACTAATTGACGAAGCAAACGGAGCCGGTGAAATGTCGCTTAATATTACACGGTGGTGTCGACGTTTCGAGTTCTTCCGAGACTTGCCTTTGCTCCCTGTGATTTTAGATCGTTTTAGAATAGACTTCAAGCAGGTTTTATTCAGCGACTCAATCGATGGTGGTGGTGCACGAGTCATCGTTTTGGAGGTCGTTCTTATAAGGTGATGTTTCTCGTCGGGATGACGACTCCTAGGTTCCTTGTAGCATCTGCAGTGGCCACATGAGCTACGGAAGTGATCTCCCTGTTGCCGGCACGAGTTTGGCAGGCCCTGGTGGGTCAAACTTTGCTTTGACCTACGCGATTTCTTTTCTACAAAACTTACTCGGGCTGCTGAAGTATTCGATGGTGCCATTACCATCATGTTACACTCCTTGTTTCGTTTAGCTTCCCCTGAAACCGGCAGAACTGGCGATATTTTCCGTGAGCCTTCTATTTTTATTGGTGGCGGTGCACTCACCTTCAGACTCCTAAGTGTGCCCTTCGAACGAACTTCAGACGTGGGTTTCACTAATTTTTTAATCCTATCCCCAACATTTCTTATTAAATTAATTTTGTCCCTAGTAGCTGTGTCACAATTAACTCCTTTTCCTCTGTTTATTAACTTTTTATGTCTTCTTCGTTTAACCGAATGCTCGGTACCATCTTCACTGGAATACTCAGGATGTTGTCCCGTTATTAACTCTTTGGATTTTGAAGTACTTCGCGGAATTTTGCTAGGAGCGACATTAGCATTACCGGTAGATCGACCATTACATGCAACCTCAACAGGCTTTCTGTGTTTTCCGTGTAAGCTCTTGGTCGCAGTCTGAAACGTCACAAAAGGTTAGCGTATTCTTACGATGTGCCAATTCATTCACGTGTCACCAAGTCACGATAGACTTCGTGACATAGAAACATTATGCAGAGAAAATTGTTTCGAGTGTGCTATTATCCGGTATAGTGCTTTAGACAATTTGATCAAGCATACAATACGTTCGCTACATTGACTTTTGTAGAATAGGGTCTACGTTGGGTTCATGTGCTCCAAAAGAGACGAATCTGTGTAACAGAGCGATGCGACAGCGTTCAGTCAGTTCAGCGATTATGGGCGTTCGAGCCCAAGGGGTCAACAGTTTTAACGCGACAGGCGTCTACATAAGTAGTAGTTTCCGTCAATTAGAAATAATCATTTTTAACAAGCCGTCCTTTATTTATAGTGTGTAATTCATATGTAATCGTTAATCTTAATTAGTTAATTCTAACTCGTTCGAGTTATCTTATACGTAAATGTCGAACGTCAGATCTGGTCCCGTATCACCACCATTAATTAGTACTGTTTCTTCCAGGGAAAAACGTACGGCTAATTTCTAATGTACATTGTCTGAACGGATCCATCAAACACGTTCATTCAGCATCATCACCGAACTGTTAACTTAGCTTAATAGAGCTATAGAAACGAACCTCAAAATCCCCTGCAGTTGTGTAGGTGACCTCTTTGGCTATTGTAGGACAGATGGAAAGTACTAATGTCGACGATAATCCGCCCGCTTTGTTAAGGCCAGCTGCATTAAGTATCTCCTCTGTAAACTGTTGCCGCACGCGACAGTCCGCATGAAGCCACCTATGCAAGTAAAATCAATTCATTTCTATACAGTTAATTAACTTAACCCTAATTTTAGATTTCATAGACGAGTGGGCGCAATCTCAATATATATAATATAGTAATATTTTATTTTGCTAACAAATTAGTCGGTAAGTTAAGCATAATCAAAATTATTAGGTACCAGTGAGCGTAACTTAAGTGTTCAGTCGTTGCACAATTAGAAAAATACTATTAAGTTCTGCCCCTATTAAGTTCTGCATCTCTCCACATAGCTATAGTCTATAGTGACCTCTAAAACCGACTTATCATTGTCAATTTATATTATTTTGGCGACACTGGCAAGTAGTTCCTGCGTAATACCATATACTATATAGAAAATCATGACTCGGAAATATAATAGCAAATACCGAATGTACGTTCGGTATCTTTACATTTTTTTTAGTGGTTATTTATCATGGAATAATCTTCCCGTTTGTCATCTTCCGGACGAACGGAAGATTCCATTCAGAACTTTCTGTGGGTCCTATGTTTCTATGAGACTTTAGCAGAAGCTTACTACTACAGAAGTCCGCCGTGATGTTTGATATGCCGGCGTATCAAACCTTCTAATGTACATTATAGTACATACACTATCAGAAGCCACTATAAGCTCTGCGTCCGACTAGATTTTAGAAAGATGCCAGTTCAACTGTACTCAGCATAAAAGCGTTAAGTTCACACTGCACAAATTTCTATTTTCTCTGACAAAATAATGCTACCTCATCGCTGCTCGATAGAGGACGTCCGGTCCATAGATTTTTCTAATGCTTAGGTAGCCGAGAAGCTTTTTTACTTGTTCGATAGTCAGCTGTAGATACGAGGTGCTGTTAACGACCCGGCCAAACCGGCGAGACAGATGTTCCATTATGGCCATTTCCTCTTTAGGGCCTAAATCACATTTTTCTATTTCGGTGAGCAGGATCAGTCCTTGTTCCTCCGCCGACATCAGCCTGAAGACGTGCTGCAACGAGGAGCGATCTTCCAGTCAGAGCTACAACAGACAATCGGATGCCAACGAACGATGCTGTGAGATAGAATCTAATCACAACCAAAATTTTTGGGCACTATAGGATCGCTCGAAGCTACCGTTAACAGTTCAGAGTCTAAGTGCGCGTTGAAATGGGCATAGGAATCGTCTCTGGGATCAGTCCTGAAGTTTTTAAAAAAAAATCGTATGAATGTGATCAACTATAATAAGTAGAATATAGTGGAGCTCGTGCCCAGGACAACTGAACAAACGATACGGATATTGTTACAGATGTAGCACCCACTCGATCGCGTAGTTCGGGAAGAAAAAGCAATGTATTTATCGATATAGCCTTTTAATACTACCGAACCCAACTTCGATACCTACTATTGTTTAAAGCAGTAAAATAATTACAGTACGCCTAAATATCGTAGTTCCAGCTACCAGAAGAAAATATGACAATTGTTATTTGATGTAATTACGTTCCGACACTTCTTTTCGAGCTTCCCGATACCCAGATCCGTAGCAGAGCAATATACGTCGATGACATTCTGTATCGTCAGTTCTGGCAGTTCGCCTGAAATATCAATTCGCAATATTTTTTTTTGTCTTCATTTAAAATAACAGCCCGATGCTCATTTGTATTTACTATGCAATTTCCGCTGTATTCAGTGTTGTGCCCTTGAAACAGCCACTGGAAGGTAAAGCTCATTAGGCCTTTTTAAAACGAGACTCACATACATTTTTTTTTCTAAAAAAATCGGGTTTAAGCTTCAAAGATCTGTATTAAGGTGACATTTTCTGTTGGAAACTTCTGAAAGCTAGAGTCAGTTTTGTATTGTTCCTCTACCTGCAAAAAAAAAACCTTATGTGCTCATTTTTCGTATTTGATTTGCAGGTGAAGGCATTAACTATGGCTAATTTGTCTTAAGTGAATGCCATTCAAATAAGTTAAATGATACATACATACATACATATATATATAAATAAATAAAAAATATATTAAAAATTTTATATTAATCAAAATATATATATATAAGAGAGGATTACAATGCTCACACATCAACTTAGCGGCAAGTTGCAGTTACTGTTTGTACCACCTAATCCACAAAAATCGCACTTTATTCGTATCGTTTGCAGAATCGGTTCAATTAGGCAAATTCATCAATGCGACCGTTTGTTTGTTTGTTAGTTCAGTATAAAGCAAGAGGCCTTGATATTGACCTTGCAGTATCGATTCAGCTTTATGGAAAAAAACGCGCGTAGTCACAGCATATTTGGTTACAACTACAGGCCATCTTTTGACAGGTACAAGCGCTACAGATCGTATCATCAAAACCACTGACGTAGCATTCTATCCGACATGCCGCGATGTCCCAAAATGTTGATCGCTCTGTATTTCTCTGAAATCACGTTGCTATTGCAGAACAGGCAGCTTCATCAATGTTTTCCTCTATCGATAGCTCGATCTGTTAAATAAACAGTTACCGTTGGCAATTTTATTACAGTGAGCAGTCGTGTTGATGGTGTCAGTTACCGAATCTTAATATATTTCTACGTTACATGCAAACCTGTTCGGAGGTACTGGGTAAGAACTTCGAAAACTGATCCGTCAACCCCTGTGAGATCCACATATGTTACGTTCCCTTCATCCTCAGGCAACCTAGCTTTGAGCTTCGTACAGGTCTTCCTGAGCAAGGCTGTAGGAAACACAAATTCCCGTTTACCCGTACGCACAAGTGTAATTGATTTCCGAGAATCCTAAAAACGAATCACAAAAGTTCGATCGTTACGTTCCGTTCCGTTCCGTTTGAGAATAGTGACATTAACGCTTATAATAATGCACTACTTTATGCAACCATGATCGTGTGAAGAATTTAATTATGCTGCAGAAAAATTGTGCTTTCAGTGTTCAGTAATACAGGTCCATTATTACAACATTCGCTAATTATCTCAAGAAATCAAGAATCTCTAACGCCGGTAATCGATGGTAACGAATGGGGTCAAGTCATAGTTCCGTGTAAGCAAATCACTAGCTTGCATCAGATACACTTAAGATTTTCGTAATTCGTTAAGGTTGTTGAACCTTTAGTTCCCCGTATCCCGTTCAAGCAGGAATCGACCGGTCAATGGATGACGGTTTCTTCTATTTGACCACATTGAGGCTGGTCCACTTAACGTATTACATAATACCATATACGTATATTCTCAGCGGTTCAACTATAACAAAGAAGGTCAGCTCAATAGAGGCACACCCGGCTAAATGCTATCTATCATAAATGTACAGTATTCCGCATCGAACATTTCTGAAAATTAAGAATCATCACCGAACCGTTGGACTGCGGCCAGTTCTGCACGGTATCGTATAGTTCACTATCAAAGCACCTGCAAACGTGTTACCCCTCCCGGGAAGCACTCGCACAGAAAATGAATGTGCTTTCATTATACGAGTCCGCTGGCCCCTAATGATAACAATGCCAGCACAAACATGTCTAGTGTCCATAGAAAGAGCTATCGCTTAACACGAACGAGCTGATACTGAAGATGCCAAATGAGAATGATGTAATTCTAATATTGAATTTGAACTGAGAAGAACGTTAACGTTCTGAGTGCACGCGACATATCGCACGGATCGTGCGAACCTTAATTGGCTCGTACAGCCCCATGTAATTAGAGTCCAAAAAAAAAAGCAGCTTTTTGCAATGGTGACTTAAAGCGGGCTATCATATCATTGGAAGACAACGTGTAAATTACTTAAATGCAGAAGACAAATGCAGTTCAACAAACTGAGACTTGAGAATTCGCAGATAATTCGCGGTAATTAAACATTAAGAGGGGAGCTACGAGCGTTTTCGCGTGTCAGTCATTATCTCTGATATTGTTCGATAAATAACTGTTTACATACCATAATCGTTAAGGCTGCAAACTTTGTTTCTATCGTCAAATAGATGAGTCTTTCGGATAGTCTGATAAGTGATTCATAGTTTTTCAGAGCTAGGGATCAGGACGTCACTGGTCTAGCCATATACTAGCTATCGATAATTTTCGTGTAGCTGTATTTTCATTGGGAGTGGCAAGCTATTTTTCAGTCATGTGTTCAATGATACTCAAACGATGTCCGAGAACCTAGCTAGTCAGCAATGGAAAAAATCGCCCATTTGACGGCAGTCAACATTAGAAATATCCCCCTATTATTTGACTGAATCCTACTCGATGGGCGATCGTAAAGCGAGGATGAGTACAAGGTGATCCGAGAGACAGTATGCACATCCTGGTGATCACAACAAAATCCTGGTGATTATCAAGACGGAAACGATATCTATTGTTGATTTTTCAATAGAGCAAAATATTCGTGGGTTAAACTCGCAGGTTTCATTAAGATCGGGATTCTCTGCTCAAGGAGTACGTTTACATCTATTCAAAAGCAATACTTCAGGACTTCGTGCAGGATGTACTAAGGATAATTTTGGGCCAAACGCGATGATAGGTCTGCTTAAAAACTTACCGAGAATAGACTTTTGTGTCCTTCAGACATATTTTAAAGCTGTACATATCAAAAGCAAATCTATATTTTCACGTCAAAACTAGATCTGGAGTATCTCCTTGTGGGTCAGGGAATTAAAAACGCCGAAGAGACGCAGAGTAGCTTTGGTCTCTAGTAATCTAGTTTTTGGGGATACTTCTGGCGTAAATAAAACATTCTTGAACTAAGTGCTTTTTTAAACTTTTAGAAGGCCTATTTGTCGGACTGTTTTTTAATCTAATAGGAAAACCTTCCAATCTACAGCGCTGCCGCGTCGCGTCTTCACTTATCCTATTTTTAAGTCATGCTGTAGTAATTTAATGTCGTTCAGTGTCTGTAAGAAGGAGATGGTCCTTGTATACGTATACGTAACTGAATTTTCCGTAACCGAAGGCAATATTGGAAGGGTAAAGGCCTGCAAGGATGAAACTGTAAACATCCAATTAACATACCTGCCTTAGCGCTGACATGTGTGTTAATTAATTAAAAAAAAAAAAGCTTCGCGAGGTCTGACGAAAACTTGTATTTCACCTGTGGTGTACTAATGGAAATGGAGGAACTCTAGAGAGAGTTCCTCCATTTCCATGTTAGCTTCCTCTTTAGCGTTGGCTGAGGTACCTTGACACGAAATATAAAAGCTATTTTTGATCGATAATAAAAGTCCAAAAATACGAAACATATGCAATGCTAAACGTGCAAAGAATTAAAACATGTAGTTAAGTGATAGACTTTGTGATAGAATAATGGAATAGCTACATGTTTAAGATGCGACTGGCCCAGACGATGTACGCTACCGCAATGAGTAGCAATGAAGTTGCTCGTCTGCTGCTTCGACTGAGATACTTTTTCATTTGCACAGATAAAAAGTGCCCATGCGCGTAGCAAGGGCTGGCATGATTCGAAATAGTGCTTTTACACTATTAGATTGTTAGTTCAGCGGGAACTTTACGTCCGCTTCAGAGGATAGCATGAGTTAATGTACCACGACCAGCTAATGATACACAGGTACTATACAACGTGTGCACGATAAAATATATTATTTTTATAATCTGCCTAAACTATCGCATGCAAGACTTGTGTGGGCTTATGTGAGCACAAAAGGTGAGTTGATTTGCCCCACAATGGCTTTCCAATGTAGAAACTAGACCGAAAATCTTAACGCAGCTGCCACTGGTGTCCGTCTGTTACCAAATGCTTTGCAGGATAATAGAGCTCAGCATTTACATAGACTTCGGTATTGCTTCTACCCCAGCATCGGTTTCACGATCTGTTGGCTTTCGACTTGTTTTTCGTGTGGGGAGCATAAGGCTACACAAAAACCCCTTGCCGTGCGATATTTTAAAGCTTTTATAAAGCAAGCACCTCCTCAAACGTATTATAAAAGCTGATAGCAGACATTTGCGGTAGAAAAATTTAGATTAAAAAAAAAAACAGATGCAACACGTATTCCGTTTGCAAACAGAGTCCGCTTGTTTCGACGTGAAATGTAATCCCTGACGAGTCCTGCCAAAGGACCAACTGTTTTCCTGCTTAAATTGCAACACTAATATCGGGTCTGGCTAATCAAATTATACGATCTTTTCTGTCGTATTATTTATTGTTTGAAGATCAATATCTATACAGCGTCAAAGAATGTTCTCCTTTGAAAGGATATATTTTGTATGCGATCTTTCGTCTGCATATGAAGAAAAGCTAAAGGATACAAGGCATCGTGAAATTTTGCTGTTTTTTTTTTTTTTTTTTTTTTCACACACCATAATTGTAATAATTTGGAACAGTAATTTTAAATGCTGTTCATAGTCGAGGGTTCTTAGCCATTTAATGGCACTGCTATCGGATATGATTACATACTGATGCGCATGCAAGGTGTTTGTGAAGATAAAGCACCCGGATTAGCAGTCTTCAATAGATTATATTCATTCATGGAACAGTGAAAACGTTAAAGCGAATATACTTGTTTGATTGATACGTGTCATTTGTCGAGACGGTAAATGTCTAATATCGCATGGGTTCAAGGACGAGAGTGCCTATTAAGCGACCGTAGAAATGCTCCACGGCGTAAATTGACGAGCTACTTTCTAGGTTCTAAAGCGACCGTTAAAAAAAAACGCATGATACATACTAACTAGTAGAGCGAAAACTTTTTTGCTTTTATTTTGTAAAAATTCACTGATAATATTTAGATCTTCAAATTGTTCCGAACCAAACCGTTGTTATGATTCTTTCCATTTCTCGGAGCATTATAGCTTACCCCCAAATATCCGACCGTTCTAGGACAGGAAAATACAGTACGCTCACAAAGTCGCTAAACGGAACCTATTCATTCTGTCCATCTCGAGTAAGTTACATTGAGACGTGCTACTCAGAGATTGGTTTAACTCGATCACAGATTATTTATGGGGTATCGTAGTAGAAGTAGCTACTTCTACCGTACTACGAGCAGTACTCGTAGCAGTAGCGCTCGTTCGGAATTAACAGAGAAAATATCATTTCCCTACGTAAACGGTTTGATACTCTTTCCCCTTATCTGTACGCATCCGAGCCGGATTATTCGCCCTGGCCCAAATATCTTACAATGTCTTAGGTTTGCTTTATAGTATGCCACACTGTAGAAAGCTTGAATAGCGTATATTTTCGTTTTTCATTTACGCAGCTATCCTTGTATTGGTTCGACGGACGGAAGGCGAGGTTTCTAGGGGATGCAATGTTTATAAAAACAAAAACCTATTAGGTTGTCTAACATTAGAAAATACTTCTGATCTTTTTACTTGACTCGTTTTCTCTCTCTTAGTGTACGGATAGGAAAGGATTGCGAGCAGCAGGCGTGAGTATTATAAGGTTGTCATGATAATACGAAGTAGCGTCGTGTGGCCTCAAAGCTAGGGCTCAAAGCTAGGGCTTCAGTCTAAATAGCTATCTCTACCGTGTTATGCTTTCAACGTGTTATAAGTATCTTAAGCGATAACAGAAAATTTTATCGTCCGCTGGTTAGAACACACAGCGCAAACGAAACTAAATATCGACGTTCGCTATGATCCATGAGTAGGTAATGGTCGTGTTCGATACAGCAGAAGATAAAAAAAAAAAAAAAAAAAGCGCTGAACATGATACTGATCCCACGGCTGGCAGGCAACTAAACAAAGAACGAGATTAGGATCGTATTCTGTATTCGACGATTGATCGGTAGAGGCACTGCTCTTAATCTTCAAAAAATAGAGAGTTGCTTAAGTACTTGTCAGGCCATCGCAGTAGACGCCCGATTGGGTCAACTGGTTGTGGGCATATCTTTTTCGACACTGCCTAAAGGATCGTACGCTGTAAAATCAGGTTTTCAGTTTCGGGCTGAGGAGGTAGTTGCAGTCGTTTGCAGCGTATACAGTAAATTATTTGAAGTGGCTTCTTCATACTACTTCTAATCGCCAATAATCCGTCATGGTGGCCGCCTAACTTCCGATACCCGACGAGATACTAAAGTGCAACACAAAGTTGTTCGTGTTGGATTCCCAGGGTTCATGAATGTACCTAAGCCCCGTTCTGTCAAAGCCCAAAAAACCTAAAATAGTTAATTACGGTCCCGTAGCTGCAGGCCATCTGTTGTTTCAGTCAACTGTTGTTCCGAAGACGTTTTCGAATGACGGTAGTCCACAGCAAGAAATATCTTCCAGGTCTTGGAAGTTGTTCTGAACTTAGCAAACTACTCTTAAGCAGTCCTTTCGATGACGCGTCGCAACCATACACATGGCAAATTCCTCGGGCTGTTGCGGTATTATTTTGACTTTAATGAAATACACAGTATGGAATATGTCGAAAATGTTTAACTGGCGCATCTATCTTTAAGGAGTCTGCACTCACGACAGTGTGTTAGAGGTAAGCCATAAGTGAGGGGACTGAAGGAGCGAATTCAAAAAGAAAAGACCCAAGCAGGTGTTCATTCGGCGAGAATTTTATTGCGATACGATTTGTTAATTAATTCTAGTTTTTAAAAAGGCCGCTCGTAATGAATGATGGGGAACAATTGTCGCGCGTACTAATATGCGTGACTCATTTTCCTTATCAGGTCACATGATTTATCTCTATGCCAGTCTTATTTGAGGGTATCATTGGCGACGACTGTACAAATTCCAAGCAGTTGGCCGGACGTTGCAGGCGAAACGAAGTCCTCCGGACTAACTTTTCCTGCTCAAAGCTTTGATGTGAAAGTACGAATCATATGAAAACACTTTTTTATAGCTTAACGGGCAACGTATTGGCCTGCTAATATCAGAAACACATTGTGATCTAAGTTTGGATCTGGGTATGGACAGATCTCGTTTCGTTCTCGGGGCCAGCTCTCTGATAGAACGCCTAGCGGTAACACCGGACGTCTAAGTCGAAACATAGAGACACCCTAGCGCCCTAGATAAAATTCACATCTTTACAGTGTCACAGCATCGAAATCCGTGCGAAGAGCAGCTATCATCTAATGTCGCTATATATATATATA